CTCCCGCCTGGCGACCCTTCCCCCCGGGCTGCTTTGCCGCCTCTCCAAGGCCGGGCCCCCCGAGGGCCCGAGGTGCGCCCCTGGCCCGCAGGCCCCCGCCTCGCCCCGGCCGCGGAGAAGAGGCTATTTCTGTGCGGGGCTGAGCCGTTGGCCTCGCTCCACGAGCGCGTGCTCGGTGGTGTGGCTGATGTGTCCCGCCTGCTGCCACCGCCTCCGCCACGGCCTCAGCAGACACTTGAGAGCACGTTGGTCGGGCGCCCAGAGCTTCGACCTGAGACGAGCGCACGGGGCGGGAGCCCTGCCGTTGTTTCCTCCCCACTCCGGCCACTGGAAGGGCAACAGCTGACCGGGGTGTGGCTAAAATGAAGGAGCAAAAACTCCCCCTCCGGCCTTGGCCGGTGTTGCTCGGTGGCTAGAGCATCGGCCTGAGCCTCAAAGGGTCACGGGTTCGATTCCCAGTCAGGGCACGTACCTGGGTTGCGGGTTCGGTCCTTGGCCCCGGTCGGGGCACATGCGGGAGGCAACCAATCCATGTGTCTCTCTCACCATCGCTTCTCCCCCACCCTTTTACTCTAGAAATCAATGGGAAAAAAATATTCTCCGGTAAGGATTAACAAAAAGGCCTGTCCAAGGCTTTACTTGACAGGGGCTGGCCTCCTAACTGGTTGCAGAGAACCCAGCCCCGGTACCTGGGCTTTCTTTGCCTTAACTGTGCTGCTCGGGCCGCCCCCGCCTTCACGGGCGGGTGGATGTGCTCAGAGCCGCGCTTCATCTCGCCTGCTGTCCAGGCCTCTTATCAGCCCAGCCTGAGAGCTTGGTTGAGGGCTGGACGTGAGCCTGGCATGTGCCCAGGTCCATATCCAGCCTTGTCAGGTCCCTCAGGCAGATCCAGTGTCTCATGTCAGCCTCTGGCAAGAAGATGACACAGCAGGTGCCCCAGCCATCAGCCCTCAGCTTGTGCAGAGGGGCAGCTTGAAGCTGGGCCACCGTGTGGCACAGTCCAGGGGCGGGCACATGTACACTGGGCACCGGGGTTCACTGATGTGGATAACAGTCCAGGTGGCACCCCCGAGCTGTATAGCTCAGTGACCCTGGCTCGAAGCCCAGTGCCACCTGAGAGCCACACATGGACACTGACTACCTTGCCAGTTGTCATTGTGCAAAGCACTTCACGGTGCCTGTCAGAGCCTGGCCTGTAAGGACGCAGCCTTCGGTGTCTGGGCCCCACAGTGCAGGACGAGCAGCGGTGCTGCACTTGGAGGGGGCTCCTCTGTCGGTCACCACGGAGGCGGCTTTTGACCATTTTTCTGAGCAACTGCCTCCTTCTGGGGCTCCCGTAGGCCTTCTCTTCTCCGTGGCTAACCTGGGTCCCCCCCCACCACAGTTGCAGAGCTACTTTGCTGCCTGTGAAGATGAGACCCCCGCCATCCGGAACCACGACAAGGTCCTGCAGCGCCTGTGCGAGCACCTGGACCATGCCCTGCTGTACGGGTAAGTCGCGATCGCTCCCGGAGGAGACAGCGGGCCACCTCAGGGCATGGCCACGGCCACGGCCTCACGTGGTTCCACAGAGAAGCCCCTAGCCTTCCCGCCTTCTGCTTCTCCTTGCCCTTGGCAGAGAGAGGCCTGTCTCGCTCAGGGGGCCTGCAGGCTGTCTGTAGTTACCTGGGTAAATGATCTGAGCAGGCATGAGGCACACTGGTGGGAGGCACACTGTTGCCGGTGGGTCCCGCTGGGAGGGCATTGCTTTCGGCCATGAGCTCACTTCCGACACGGCTGGTGGACCAGCCGCCACCTGCGCCTTCCCGGGGGAGCCTTGCGCAGATGCAGCAGCGCCTGTCCCGTTTTCTCAGGCTGCAGGACCTCTCGTCTGGCTACTGGGTGCTCGTGGTGCACTTCACCCGGAGAGAGGCTGTCAAGCAGATCGAGGTGCTGCAGCACGTGGCCACCAACCTGGGGCGCAGTGAGTAGAGCCATGTGGACGCCAGGGAGGGCCAGCTCCGCCCTCCCCACGGGTGGCTCGGGTCTCAGGTGTGGCCTCCCGGTCAGCCTCGGGAGGCTCATTGCTTTGTGATGTCCAGGGGCAGTGGGGCACTCAAATGCCAGTGACCTCCACGAGGCCCCTCTCCTCCCCACACAGGGCAGTTTGTGGGAGCATCGTGGGGGTGTGAAGGAGAGTGAGATGCTGAAGAGAGTCAGGCTCCGGGCAAATCCCAGCCTGAGCGCGGAATGAGCCTCGCCCCCCGCTGAGTGAGGACCGGTGTTGGCCTGCAGGGTCCCGCAGGGCCCTGGCATTAATCAGCCCACCGGACTCTGAAGTCTGCCTCTTTCCATTTTCACTTTTATTTTTATTATTTTATTTTTTTTAACTTTTTTTTTTTTTAATATATCTTTATTGATTTCAGAGAGAGGAAAGGAGAGGGAGAGAGAGAAACATCAATGATGAGAGTCATTGATTGGCTGCCTCCTGCAGGCCCCAGACTGGGGATCGAGCCCGCAACCTGGGCATGTGCCCTGACTGAGAATCAAACCCTGATCGCCTGGATCCTAGGTCGATGCTCAACCGCTGAGCCACGCCCGGCCGGGCTCCATTTTCATTTTTAAAAAAACATGAGCTGGAAGGACCAGCTTTTTTTATTTTTTAAATATATATTTTTATTGGTTTTTAGAGAGAGAGGAAGAGAAAGGGAGAGAGAGATAGAAACATCGATGGCAGAGAATCAGCATCGATCGGCTGCCCCCGCACGCCCCCAACTGGGGATTGAGCCCACAGCCCAGGCATGTGCCCTGACCGGGAATCGAACCATGACCTCTTGGTTCCTGGGCTGACGCTCAACCACTGAGCCACACCGCCGGGTGCGATCTGCCTTCTTTATCGGAGCTTCCTGGGCAGCCACAGGCTAGGGGCTGACCGGGAAAATCAAGATTTGGGGGTGATAGCACTCCAGTTGGAGGAAGGCTGTTGGGGTGCGTGGTCCCCTCAGCTGCTCTTTCCTTCCTTTCTGCCCTCGCGTGGCCAAAACGCCGCGCCCTGACGGACCTTCCTCCCGCTCGTCCCGCCCTCGCCTGCAGGCCGGGCCTGGCTGTACCTGGCCCTCAACGAGAACTCCCTGGAGAGCTACCTGCGGCTGTTCCAGGAGAACCTGGGGCTGCTGCACAAGTACTACGTCAAGTGAGTGTCCGGTCTGCCCCGTGCAGCCCAGAGCTGCCCTTGAGCCTCGTGCCAGACTCTTGTCACACGCAGACACCACGGTGTGTCACTTCAGACGCCCGGCCTGGCACCGCATGCGAGGACATGTCAGTGGCGGCCAAGGGCCGTTGGGGCCTGGCCTGGGACGACCTTTGCCCGGAGCACTGGTCCCCAGCTGGGCTCATGTTCACGGGTTGGTGCTCTGCCGCCACCCGGTCCACTCCCCGGGCATCAGACCCGACTAGAACCCGCAGCCCCTGCCGGGGTGGCCGCAGGATGGAGCATTAATAGCAGCCGCTTCAAGCCCGGTGGGCTTCATGCCGCAGGCCGCGTGTCTGAAGACGCTGGCGCTAACGTGCCGTGTGGCTCCAGGCGCCGCAGGGGAATGCTGGGAAGGGGTGGGTGGCGGCTGCCTCGAGCCGGGTGCCCTCGGGGAGAGGGGATGTCACATGTCCCATTTCAACACAGTTGGCCAAGCTGGAAACCAGACCCAGAGCCACCACCGCCCCCTCTGTCTCACAGGAATGCCCTGGTCTGCAGCCACGATCACCTGACCCTCTTCCTGACCCTGGTGTCTGGGCTCGAGTTCATTCGCTTCGACCTGGACCTGGTGAGACACCACGGCCCTCGCTGCTCTCGGGGCAGAGGCCCGGTCGGGGTGGGCATGTGGTGCCATTTTTCGGGTTCCTCTCGGGAGCCCGCTGGGCGTGATGGGCCTGAGCGAGGCCTTGTGTGTGCCGGCGAGCCCGGGGCCTGGGTTGAGCAGCAGGAGCGAGTGGCAGGGGGATCCCGGCGAAAGGCCAGGGTCCTGGTTCAGCCGACTGCTCCCTCCCTCTGTCCCAACTTGGAGAAAAGACACACGGCTGGAGCATGTTAGCTGAAAGCCTCTCCTCGAGGTTTAGGACAGGAGCGTTTGAGGGGCACGAGGCAGATTGGCCCCTGAGCCTCCTGGGCCCCTGGAACTGTCCCTGGCTGCGTGCTCCCCAGCCTCCCTCCTCACGTCATGTGTCCTCACTGCCACACTCTGGAGAGTAGGCGCCGGCCAGAACCAGCCGAAGGGGCCTGGGCGCCTCTCGCACTCGGGCTCATCGAGATGGAGGCAGCTGCCCATCCTAATCGAGTCCCTTTCCTGGGTCCCTGTCCCATCAGCACAGACCGGCAGGAACTTAGCTACTGAGGAGCAGGAATTAGGGGAAATGAGCAGCTCGAGTAGTAAGAGGTCAGGGAAGGGCCAGAGGCGTAGCTGGGTTATGCCATCTCTGTCGGCCTCAAGTCCAGCTTTAAGCGCCACCCCCATTCACATTACTCTTTTTTTGAAAAAACAATGTTTTTATTGATTTTTAGAGAAAGAAACATCAACGCCCCCTCCTGGGGATCGAGCCCCAAACCCAGGCAGGTACCCTGATGGGGAATCGAACTGGCGACCTCTCGGTGCACGGAGAATGCTCGACCACTGAGCCACACCAGCCAGGGCCACATTACTCTCTTTAGCAGCTTGTTTATGAATTTAGTACCTTAAGCCCATTGGTTTCCAGAGAAAAATTAGCACAGGGGAGGGTGTGACAGGCAGGGTGCACTCCCAGCCAGGGCCTCCGCCACCCTAACCTGCCTTCCCCCTCTCTCCTCAGGACGCCCCTTACTTAGACTTGGCTCCCTACATGCCCGACTACTACAAACCCCAGTACCTACTGGACTTTGAAGACCGCCTTCCCTGCTCGGCCCACGGCTCAGACAGCCTGTCCCTCAACTCCTTCAACTCCGTCACCTCCACCAACCTGGAGTGGGACGACAGTGCCATCGCCCCCTCGAGCGAGGGTAGGTGGCCCCAGGGCAGAAAGGAGCCGGGCCTCTTCGGGGAAACTGATTCTAGAGCCACCTGGCTGGGTGGCATCTCTATTGGCCAGTGCTCGTCCAGTGGTTGAAATGAAAGGGGCAGCCAGTTTCCTCCGAGTCCCTGTGATAGCTGGAAAACTGACTCTGGAGACAAAAAGCCAAACCATCTTGTGTCAGACACTTTTCCAGAAAGCCGCAGCCCCATGCCCGGGGCAGTCTTCTTTTCATTTTTTTAAATATATCTTTATTGATTTCAGAGAGAGGAAAGGAGAGGGAGAGAGAAACATCAATGATGAGAGAGTCATCGATTGGCTGCCTCCTGCAGGCCCCACACTGGGGATCGAGCCCACAACCCGGGCATGTGCCCTGACTGGGAATCGAACCTCGACCCCCTGGATTTTAGGTCAACGCTCGGCCCCTGAGCCACACCGGGCCTGGCCCCGGGGCAGTTTTTTTAGTGAGGTGGGATTTGCTAGTGTGGCCCGGAGGGGTGACCGTCACCTGCCCCGGGGAGGTTGTCTTACCCTAGATCCTAGGCAGAAAGAAGCTAAGGAACCCCCAGGAAGAGATGAAAGGCCGACAGATGCAAAGTTTAGGGGTAACCTGCCACCGCTTCCCCGGAGTCCATTCAGTTTCTGGGTCTCTCCTGCACCTGCTAGTGTGTCCGCGACGACTGCATTCGTCCCACGTGGGAGACCGGATGTCTTCATCCCTGCTCCCCACTTTCCCCCCAGGGAAGGGGGTCCCAGCCCCTGGGGCTCCCTAGACCTGCACCAGCACTGAGACCTGACCTTTGTCTTTATTTCTAACTGTGCCCGGGCCGCGTCCCAGGAAGGGGCCAGTTACCAGCAGACTTGCTGTTGGCAAGACTTGCACTGCTCCCTGCGCAGGCGGCGGAAGGGCTGGGCTCCCGGCTGCCTCGGAGGAGTCGGAGGGACGGGCCTCACGGGGCAGCCCCCTCATCTCAGCTGTGGGGGCAGAGGGAAGGGAGGCACGGACAGGAAGGGTCGGGAGCAGCTGGGCCCAAGTTCACCAGAGCCCGGTCCTCTGCCCACCGGATGTCTCCCTAGCGGGTCAGAGGCGCTGGGCCAGTTGTTAGATAAAATGTAGAAAGTTTCATTTTTTTCCTGTCCTGTGTCCTCCCATGTCCCCTGCCCTGTCGTCCCCACCCTCCCTGTGCATCCACTGCCCGTGTCTAATCTTCAGTTTTGTCCCCATTTCTGTAGATTATGATTTTGGAGATGTGTTTCCTGCAGCGCCGTCCATACCCAGCACAGACTGGGAAGGTGGGCCCGGGTCCCTCTTACCCCCTTTCCCTGTTCTGGCCACGTTGCCGAGCTTGCTGCATGACTGAGAATCAGCTCGCTGTTTAAAATCACGTTGATGCTATAACCACCCGGTGATCACACTAAGCCAGGCCTGGGGTCCTGACAGATGGAATTCTGCGGGAGGGGAGCTGACCTCCAGCCCTGGGCGGATTCCTTCCCTCCGCCGGGCAGGATCCTGCTCCTAGGCAGTGGCCTTGTGGAGTCGAGAAGTGACTGCTTCTCAGGGACACAGGTTAACATAAACTCGGGCCACCCTCCCACCGTGTCCACTAGGTGGCAGTAATGCTCAGGCGTTTTCCTGCCCGCGACTCCGCTTCTGGGCTTGTGAAAATTCATGAAGCCGTTCCGTGCGTTCTCACGATTACTCAGAGCCCGGGGCGTGTTTCCGAGACCGTTAATGCCTCCTGCGTAAATCTGAGGTCTGGAGGCCATGACCAGACCCCTGTATTAAAGACTCTGTTGCCCTGTGGGCCACTTCCACCCAGGGTGCGGGGCAGCCTCTGAAGGGGGAGGGACAGGTGCTCTCCCCGCTGCTGCCCCTTGTTGCTAGAGCCATGATCTCTGAATAGTGGACGGCAGATGATCTTTTCCCGAGTAGCGTGCATACGAGTCACTCAAGTTCGAGGGAAATAAGCGGGAACTGGGGAAAATAAATTATGTCATCTGGGCAAGAGCGTAGCATCAGAGAGCCCCACATCTTAGTTGAGATCAGCTCAGAGTCCAGAATTCCATCTTAACACCGTTTATCCTGAGCCTCTCTTCTCGCGGCGGACGTGCTGGGCACTGACGTCTCCCCCTCTCGTTCTAACAACTAACCCCCTCCTGACCCAGCTACTTGTTGCCTGTTGCAGTTGCTTGACAAGCAGGGCCTGACCTCCCTCTGCAGCCCTGCAGGGCTCCCTGTGGCCTGAGAACTAACAACAGCCCAACCATGCTGCTTGCTGGGGCCGGGCTCCCGGGCAGGGTGAGAGTCACCCCAGCGGTAGTCTCCCGATTCCGAGTTCCTCCAGCCCCAGGAAGCCCCCAGCCTGCTCTGGCCGCCTGCCTGCCAGACCTGGCGGGAAGCAGGACTCTGGGGCACCTGCACACTCTGGGCTCCGAGATGGGGACATGGGAGGCTGTTCCACGGTCCTCAGCTCATTACAGGACTGGTGGGCACCCCAGCCTTGACACGCGCCACATCCGTGGCGTGCTCGCTCCCCTCTCGGACTCCTCCCACAAGCAACCGCGGGTCTCCAGGGGCAGGGACAAGACTTTACAGGAACCTCCTCTGAGACCAAAGGGCCGGGCTTTCTGCATCTGAGAACCAGGGCTCTGTGGCCCCAGAACGTCAGGAGAAGATCTCGCCTATGCTAGTGTTTTTCCGGCAGGGCTGACATGGCTTTTAGCTCCCTTCTTTGNGTCAGGAGAAGATCTCGCCTATGCTAGTGTTTTTCCGGCAGGGCTGACATGGCTTTTAGCTCCCTTCTTTGCTCTTATATTAAACGACAGTGTGCTTTTTTAAAAATGCGGATGACATGCTGTGTGAGCAGACAGCTGCCAGCGGCCTCCAAGATCCACTAGGCAGCCGGCGGCTGCTGGGCCTCCCGGGTGGGGCCGAGGGTGGGAAGCATGCTGGTCCGTCTCCCGGGCAACTGATGGCCAGTAAGGTGGCATACGGTGGCTAATGGAGCGTGAACGGGCGTGTCCCCTGCCACTAACCCTCACCTAGGCTGTTCCGCCAGCCGGGCCACAGTTCTCTGCTCGGGCAGCTCCCATCTGCCACCAGATAAATGTCCCGTGTGCTTTTCCTGCTGGTGCGCCCCCCTCTCCGTGTCCTGCCCCAGGGCCCTGGGGCGGATGGCTGGGGTAGGCCAGCTCCGCTCTGGGGGGGCAGCTGTGTCCCCTGCCCGTCCCCCCCCCCCCCNGACCAGTGTGCACACTGAGGCTCGAATGGAATTGAGTCCTCAGCGCCCCCCTTAAAGGGGCACCTGGTCCTGCCCCCTGGAGTGTGCTGGTGGGTCATCAGGGAGAAGCAGCCACTGAAGGGCCCGCGAGGCATCTGTTGGGGGGCAGCCGCTCGACACACCCTTCTCACCCCCTTCACTTCTCATTCACTCTCCGGCGCTCCAGCCCCTTCCCCGTGCCCCTCACCCCTGGGGCTCCCTCTCCTCTCAGCCTCTGCCCCCCACTCTGCACCCCTTACTTTCTCTGATCTCTGTTCTTTTCTACCTGCCTCTGTGGGGGACCCTTCAGAGGACTTTGGGTATCTCAGCCCTGCCAGTGCCTTGGGGTGCTAAAGGGGCTGCTAGGTACCCCTCTTCTAACGTCCTCTGGTGAAGGCTCTGAGGCTGACCTGCGAGGCATGCGGCCCATCTCCCCTTCGGCATCGAGGTCACCGACCTCCAGGGGCTTCAGCCTGGAGCTCTTAACTCAGATTTGGCGCAGTTGCTGCAGCTCCCCAGGGCTCCTGGTGGTGGTGGTGATGGTGGTGATGGTGGGGGTGATGGTCCTTCCTAGTTGCTCTGAAGCACAAACCCCATGTCCTGTTGGGTCTGGGCTTCTCCTCTTGGGACAGGGCCACCCCATCAGGTTTCCCTGGGGGGAAGTCACCTGCCCTCCTCAGGAGATGGGCATGCTTTGGGGTCCTGGGGTCCCCCGATGGCATCCGACGGCTGTGTCCTGTTTCCAGACGGAGACCTCACGGACACTGTCAGTGGCCCCCGCTCCACTGCCTCCGACCTGACCAGCGGCAAAGCTTCCGCCAAGAGTCCCACCCAGCGCCACAACCCCTTCAACGAGGACCAGGCAGAGGCCGTCTCGTCCTCCGACACCACCCCCGTGCACACCACCTCCCAGGAGAAGGAGCCGCGCACCCCGGAGCCGCCAGACGCGGGCACAGAGCTCGAGGTCATCAGGTCAGCGGGGAGGGCGGGGGCAGCACCCTGGCGACCACTGTCCACTCCTGGCAGCAGCTTTTAGTCCACGCAGGCAGCTGGGCATCTTCCCGGAGACAAAGTGCCCCCTCCCTTCCTTGGTACCTCTGTTCTGTGGCGCTCTGGTGTCAGTTTCTCCCCATCGCTTCTGTCGCAGGGTCACCAAGAAGAAGAAAGCTGGCAAGAAGAAAAAGACCAGGCCCGAGGAGGAAGCAAACCCGCCTCACCCGGCCTCCGCCCAGCGCGTCATCGGCGCCAGGAGGGGCGACGGCGACAGTCCGGTCAGCAGCCCAGGCCGCGGGCAGGGCTCGCCCGACACCACCTTCGCTCCCCCCCAGGAGAAGGGGGCGGGGCCCGGCAGCACCCCCGAGAGCAGCGAGCCCTCGGAGCCCTGCCACACGGGCCTGCTCATCCCCGAGATGAAGGACACCTCCATGGAGCGCCTGGGGCAGCCCCTGAGCAAGGTCATCGAGCAGCTCCACGGGCAGCTGGACCCTCGCACCTGGGGCGCCCACGCCGAGCCCCCCAACCAGCCCTTTCGGACGGGCTCTCCGGGGGACGCCCCGGAGAGGCCGCCGTTTTGTGACTTTAGTGAGGGGCTTCCCGCCCCAATGGACTTCTACCGCTTTACCGTCGAGAGTCCAGGTGCTGGTGCGTCAGGTGGCGGCAACCATGACCCTGCAGGGCCTGGCCAACCGCTGCATGTTCCTGGTAGCCCTGCGGCTGCTGGCCAGGAAGAGGAGGGAGGAGGGGGAGAGGACCGGGCGCCTCCTCCCCTAGGGGACACCCTGGGGGAGGCTCAGGAGCCCCAGGCCCAGGAGGCTCTCTGCCAGCCGAAGAGAGACCAGCCCAGCCCGTGTCTGAGCAGCAACGAGGACTCCGGGGTGGAGGAGGGGCAGGGGAGCCCTTCTGAGATGTGCCACTCGGCCGAGTTCAGGTGAGCGAGGCTGCGGGTGCCGCCCTGGGGACACCCCCAGTCCCTGAAGCAGGGGCACCGGCTGTCTGTCCTACAAATAAACTGAGCGTAACTCCCGGGAGACCTGGCCTGGGCTGGGGGAGGAAGGGCTGTGATCTTCCCCTCCCTCGTTTTGGCTCCTGGTTGGGAGCTGAGCCAGGACGACTGCTGGTCTGGTGCCTGCACCGCCCCTGGGGTCCTGCACCGCCTCCGGGCGTGTGTCTCCTCCCTGTGCCTGTTTCACCCCTCCCGCCCCGGGCCCAGCCTGACGCCCCGACGGCGCCACACTTGTCCTTCCGCAGAGTAGACAACAATCACTTACTCCTGCTGATGATCCACGTGTTTCGAGAAAACGAAGAGCAGCTCTTCAAAGTACGTCCTGGGGACTCAGGAGCTAAGGAGCACCGGCACCGCCGGGCGGGACGGGACCAGACGGAGGCACACTGCCCGGGGCGCGGCCCCCCAGCCTGACCTGTCTCTGCTTTGGCCACAGATGATCCGGATGAGCACGGGGCACATGGAGGGCACCCTGCAGCTGCTGTACGTGCTGCTCACGGACTGCTACGTCTACCTGCTCCGCAAAGGTGCCTGCCACCCCCTCCCCCCGCGTCCCTGCACCCCCGTGTCTCAGCCCTGGTGTGTGGTGATGTGAATGGGCTCCACGGAGGTGCTGCTGTGGGCCCAGCAGCCACAGGACACGAGCCGGGGCCCCCTCCGTGCGCACCTGTGTCACCCTCCATCATTTCAGACCACAGGGCACCGGGAGGGGCCAGGTCTTAGAAAACGGGGCCAGCGAGGGAATAGAGACCACTGTGGGTCATACGCTTTGGGGTCTCTCTCAGGGGCCACAGAGAAGCCATACCTGGTGGAGGAGGCCATCTCCTACAATGAACTCGACTACGTGTCGGTGAGTTCAGCTCTGCAACGGGTTTGCTGCGAGGGCCCCGCCCTGCGGCAGAGAGGCAGGTCCCTGCCTCAGCCTCGGGCTCAGTCCCCTGCCTCAGCCCTAAGGACAGGCGCCAGCTCCTCTCTCAGAGCAACTTCTGTTCATGGCGCCGGGGATAAGAGCCGGGCTTGAGGATGCCCTTTCGTCCATCCCTCCCTCACCTCGGGGCCACCCCGGGGTTCACCTCCTCCCTCCCCAGCCGGCCCTCAATCTGGCCATGGCCACCTCTTCTGCTAGGCCGTGGCCAAGCCCCAGGTGCATGTGCCGTGTGGTTTCTGTAGGTGGGCCTGGACCAGCAGACAGTGAGGCTGGTGTGCACCAACCGCAGGAAGCAGTTTCTGCTGGACACGGCTGACGTGGCCCTGGCTGAGTGAGTGACACTTCCTGCTGGGCCCTGAACCCCCCCTCCCCGCCCTTGGGCTGGAGGGTGGGAAGAGGCCTATGGAGAAGTGGAGACCAGAGCTATGGTCCTCTGGGCCCTGCAGTCTGGTCGGAGAGGCAGGGAAGTGAACACATACGCTGATGTTAGCTCGTGGTCAGCCCAGGGGACTACAGAGGAAGGGGGCTGGCATGAGGTCCCAGCAGGAGGGAAGCCCAGCCTTGCTGCTGGACCGCGACATGCCCCCCAGACGTCCACACGGACATTGCGTGTAACAAGATCATACTCTTGGAGTCCAGCCGCATCCCCTTGCCCAGTCTTCCCTTGCTGTCAAAACCCAAGGCCCCTTGGCCACTGGGAATGGTTAAGCCTCGTTCAAGTCACTGTTAGATGACTGTGGACTGTTGTCACATCACTGCCCCACCCGCCGCCCTGAGCCCTGGGACCCCCCAGGTCCCTCCCCCATATTTCTGTGACCCCGGCAGGCCAGGAGCCCTCGGCAGTAAGCCTCGTCTGTTTGAGGGGCGGGGGCTCCCAGGCCTCTGCAGCAAACCCCGCTCCCTGTGCAGGTTCTTCTTGGCGTCTTTGAAGTCGGCCATGATCAAAGGCTGTCGGGAGCCACCCTACCCCAGCATCCTGACCGACGCCACCATGGAGAAGCTGGCACTGGCCAAATTCGTGGCCCAGGAATCTAAGTGTGAGGTAAGAACCTGGGGGCTGCAGTGTTGTTCCTGAGACACCAGCCCTGGTACAAACAGAGGTACAAATAGAGGTCTTTGGCATTTCTCTGTCACCCCTCCCCACTTGGATTGTGTCCTTGCTTTCTCCATGGCCCCTTCTGGTGCTGGCCCAGACCTGACCGCTCTGTCCGCTGTCCCCTCCCCAGGCGACCGCTGTGACCGTGCGCTTCTACGGGCTTGTGCACTGGGAGGACCCCACGGACGAGTCCCTGGGCCCTGTCCCCTGCCACTGCTCACCCCCCGAGGGTGCCATCACCAAAGAAGGCATGCTGCACTACAAGGCGGGCACCTCCTACCTGGGCAAGGAGCACTGGAAGACCTGCTTCGTGGTCCTCAGGTGGGAGCCCCCTCGGGCAGCTCCGGCCTCAGGCTCGGCCTGGGGTTGCTGGCTGTCAGGTCCCCAGCAGGGAGCTGTTTGCAAGGGAGTCGCTGAAGAGAAAGGCCTAAGGGGGGCGGCTCCCTCCTCCACAGGGCTTTGCAGGAGACATCCCAGGATATCAGAGCTTCTCTGTAAAGCCATCCATCTTTGGGGCCCACCCAGGGGCTCCCATCCCATGCCACCCAAAGAAGCCCACCTAAAATACATCAGGCAGAGACCTGCACGGGGCTGCGCCGAGCTGACCCCAGGGGTGCTGAGGGAGCAGCACTCCTTGCTGGCCCCTGCAGGTCTTTCTTCACCAGCCCTGCCACAGCAGACAGGCCCCCCCACCTCTTTGGCCTCTGGGGTTCAAAGCTCCAGCTTGTGGGGAGTCCCAGGGGTCTGGGCTCCACCTGGCCCCCAGTTCCTGGGACAGGCCTCACCCCTGCCATATTGTGCCCCTGCAGCAATGGGATCCTCTACCAGTATCCCGACCGCACCGATGTCACCCCCCTGCTCTCTGTGAACATGGGGTAAGTGTCTCGGGCAACGGGGCTGGGTAGATGTTGGGGTCAGGCATCGATGCCTGAAGGTCAGGGCTCTGGCTGAGCCTGGGGCTCGGGCTTCTGTTACCCTGGCTTGGGCTGGCTCTCCCTCTTGTCAGCTCAGCCCGGCCCCTTATCTCCTGAGAGCTAGAGGGGTCCCGACTACCTTCTGGTGTCCTCCAGCCCTGGGACTGGAGCAAGCTCTGTGTCCATGCACCTTGAGCCACACCCAGGGGCCACCCCGTGCCAACCCCGCCTCCTCGCTCCCGTTTCACCCCTCCTCCTCTGGCCCAGGGGGGAGCAATGCGGTGGCTGTCGGAGGTCCAACACCACGGATCGGCCCCACGCCTTCCAGGTCATCCTCTCCGACCGGCCCTGCCTGGAGCTGAGTGCGGACAGCGAGCCGGAGATGGCCGACTGGATGCAGCACCTCTGCCAGGCCGTATCCAAAGGGGTAAACTGCTCCTGCCTCCCCCGTTCACCTGGCCTCCCCACATCCCGGGTCCCTCCCCGAGCCCACACCCGTCACGGAGCCACCTGTGAGGAATAAGGCAGGGGACCTCCAGGCGACAGCCCAAGAGCAGACCCTGGAGCTCTCGCTGTCACCCTGTCCCCACCTATGATCCTGAGGTGGGCGGAGCCTGCCTGACTTCTGGAGGGAGGGGCATAGGGCCGGCGGGGCCTCTGGATGGAGGGGTCTGGTGCAGACTTCCCTCCCCTCTGCCCATGCCCTTCAGGTCATCCCCCAGGGGGTGACTCCCAGCCCCTGCATCCCCTGCTGCCTGGTGATCACTGACGACCGCCTCTTCACGTGCCACGAGGATTGCCAGACCAGCTTCTTCCGCTCCCTGGGCACAGCCGCGCTGGCCGACATCAGCGCCGTGTCCCTGGAGCCCGGCAGGGAGTTCTGTGTCTTGGTGAGCCGGGTCAGGGGAACGGAGGCAGGCCCTTCAGGAGGATCCCTGTGTCCGCTCACCTGGGCCCGCTCTCCCCAGGAGTTCTCCCAGGACAGCCAGCAGCCCGTCGCACCCTGGGTCATCTACTTGAGTTGCACATCTGAACTGGACCGATTCCTGTCTGCACTGAACTCTGGGTGGAGAACCATCTACCAGGTACCCAGCTGCCCGGGGCCCAGCGGAGCGGAGCCATCCCCTAAGGAAACGGAGATTGAGGCAGGAAGCGGGCTGGGGCAGCACCGTATCTGTGGCACCGGGACAGACACGGACATTAGGTCCAAAGGGCAGCCTGACTCCTAGTGAGTCTGAGACTAAGCTGAGAGTGGAACCCAGAAAACACCGTCCCTGACCTTATCGTTTCCAATCAAAAAGCACGAACTAAGTGCCCGTGGGGGACTGAGGCAGAGGCCGGTCCAGGTAGGCGGGATCCTTTCAGGTGGCAGCCAGCTGGAGTGCAGGGCTGGCCATGTGGGGCCCCCCCAAGGAGGAGGCTCGGGCGCCGTCACCTTGTCTCGGTTGAGCCCCTCCGTGGGCAGGAGGATCCAGCAGGGTGGAGACTCCAGCAGGCTCCCGGGCAGGGGCTCCGCGGCCTCACACTCCCTGCCCCTCCACAGGTGGACCTCCCCCACAAGGCCATCCAGGAAGCCTCCCACAAGAAGCTCGAGGACGCCCTGAGCCTCATCCACAGCACGTGGCAGCGCAGCGACAGCCTGTGCCGCGGCAGAGCCTCCCGGGACCCCTGGTGCTGAGGCAGAGCTGGCTGCTGTCCTGGCGTCCTGGCGTCCCGGGGGTAGGACAGGGAGGCGCACCGAGCACGCAGTCATCGCTGTGTCGCCGTGCTGCTCAGGGCCGGGCCCCCCCCCGTTCCACAGCCCACCACCACCCCGGGCGCAGAACCAGTGAGCGGGCTGGAGGCAGGGCCTTTCCCTCCGAGGGATCCAGAGTGGGTGCTTAGCGCCTTGGGCATGCTGCCCAGCAGGTGGGCACTGGGAAGTGCTGGGGCAGGGGGTCCGAGCCCTATGGGCTCTAGTTGCACAGCCCCCTCCCAGGGCCACGGCCTCAGTCCACGCCATCTCTTCAGGATGGCAATGAGGGTAATGTGGACTCCGAGGGGAGCGAAGGACGGAGAAGGCAGGAGTCCCCTCTTCCTCTCCTGGGCCAGGCCCGGGCAGAGGCTCAGGACTCCCTCCCCGGGGCCCTGAGTGCCTGGCCTGGCTGCACAGGGAGGGAAGCTGGACCACTGAGGCCATAGTGCACGTCTCCTCACTAGCTCCATCCCCGCGCACTGCTGCCTGCCTTCCGGGGCTGGCGCCGGGCCTGGACTGGCCCCCCCTGGCTGCCAGGAGGCCCTGCATGTCCACGGTCCCCTACCCCCACCTCTCCCTGAACCTGGCAGTGTCATGGACCCAGGAACCAGGCTGTGTCCTTGCACCCAAAGCAAAGGGAAGGGAGGAGGGCTTGGAAAGGAGCAGAGCCCACTAGCCTGGTGTTCACGTTGGAGCCTCCTGACTGTCCCCTGCTTGGCTAGAGCCAGGCCCTTCCCAAGAGCTTTGTCAAGGGCCCTCTGGGGGAAGGAGTCAGGTGGTCTGGGGTTTGTTTTTTAAAATAAAATAGATACGTTATATTGCCAAGACTTGTCACTGGTCCTTTTTGACCAGGGTGGCGGTGGGGGCCCTCCAGTCCCTCCTCTCAGGCCCCTGGGCTCTGTTCTTCATTCCACACGTTCCCTCAGCTGTCCATGCCGACACGGGAACCGGACCCCCTGCCGCTCCGGGGCACTCACCTGGAGGAGCCCAGGCCTGGGAGTTTCTTGGCCTGAACTTTGCCCTCCCTCCTGTTTCCTGCAGTGGCCAGGGGTGGGGCAACTCCAGTCCTGGGGCATGTCTCCATTATCTCCAGTCTCCACTACCTGGCGGGCACTCCTGCCTCCCATTCTCCCCAGCTCCAGGAGTAAATGCCAGCCACTCTGGATAAACCCAGTTCCCAAGGCCTCTTGTTGTGCCACTGCCCCAGGGGCTGGCTAGAGGATGCCAAGCCCACCAGGCTGGGGGAGCCATTCAGCACTGCAACCTCCAGGGCCCCACGCCTGGGAGAAAAGGAGTAGACTCTGGAAGGGCTGGGTGTGGAGGCTACCTAGGTGGGTTCCAGGCAGGGTGGCTCTGCCCCTGGTTTTGATTGGGCCTAAGGTGGTGTAGGGTGGCCCTGGCAGGAAAGAGCTGCTCTGGGGGCACAGGCCAACGTGGGCAGGGTGGTACTGGCCCCTGGCCTGAGCAGCCTGGCACCTGGGAGCAGTGTGCAGGGGTGTAAGGTCCCTTCTCACCAGGCACAAAGGGCCACTTCCATGCCAGGGGGCTCTTCTCCGGGAAGCCACACCCAGGAGGTGCTGCCGCCTGGAGGAGGGTAGTCCTGAGGGAAAAGCCCTTACAAGATAATCGACCAAAGCCACTGGTCGAGCCTTGAGGGGCCTTATTTTTCCATCTCCACACCCCCAGGGGCCCCAGGCAGGGGGAATGTGGGCCACCTTTTATTGGGTGCTCTTCATACATCTCTAATCCCCCAAAGAAGCTCTGACATGGGTACGGATATCCCCGATTTACAAACGGAGAGACTGAGGCTCAGAGAGGAAGTAATTGGCCCAGGCCACATACTGGCACAGCCTGGGAGTCAAGGCCAGTCCTCCACCTGTGCTCTCACTGACAATGGGACCATAGACCCTGGGAGCCAGACTGGAAGACCGAGGCCAGGAAGGGGGACGTCACACAGCAGCAGGCATGGGAGTGGGGCAGTTGCTGAGTTGCCCAGGACGGCAGTTGCCCCATGCCCAGGGCTCTGAGCTGCAGCAGGACTGGCGAAGCCAAAGGTGGGGCAGAAGCACCAGCCCTTTGCCCCAGGACCAGAGGAGGGCTGGAGGACGACTGGGCTGATTGGCACCTTCTTCCCGCCCCCAATCTCTAGCTGTTCCAGGTGACCTTTACCCCAGATCCCAGGGTCTAGGCCCGCCCCTGCCGGGAGGTGTGGACAACACAGGCAGCTGCGATTGGTCAGAGCCCCCAGGGGTGTGCCCCAGGCGCCAGCAGCCCAGGCCCTGGGCAAAGCAGGTGGACTCCAGGGATAGATCAGGAACCGCCTGGCAGCTGCAGGCCTGTCCCGCCAGACCCCTGCCCTGCAGACATGGTCTCAGGCCCCCTCGATCCCTAGCCCTGTGACCCTTCAGAGGTGCAGGCAGCCTAAGCGCCACCACCCCAGGGCCTGTGCCATGCCCCTGACCAGGGCACAGCCCTCTGCTGGCACAGAGGACACAGAAACGGTGTCGCCGGCTGTGGACCTGGTGCTGGGCGCCTCGGCCTGTTGCCTGGCCTGCATCTTCACCAACCCCCTGGAGGTGGTGAAGACACGGCTGCAGCTGCAGGGGGAGCTGCAGGCCCCCGGCACCTACCCCCGGCCCTACCGGGGCTTCGTGGCCTCGGTCGCCGCTGTGGCCAGAGCAGATGGGCTGTCTGGGCTGCAGAAGGGGCTGGCCGCCAGCCTCCTCTACCAGGGCCTCATGAACAGCGTCCGCTTCTACTGCTACAGCCTGGCGTGCCAGGCTGGCCTCACCCAGCAGCCAGGGGGCACCGTGGTCGCAGGTGCGGTGGCTGGCGCCCTGGGAGCCTTCGTGGGGAGCCCTGCTTACCTGGTGAGTGCCTTGCCTCCACCCTCCACCATCCCGAGGCCCAGCTCCCTCCGGGACTCAGGCTTCCCTGGCTGGCCTCAGCGGATAGGTGGGGTGGGGCAGGCTGGCTGGGGCGCTCCCTGGAACATCCCTGCCTAGGCTTGCTCTCTGCCCCAGGGCAGCAGGACCTTACCTAGTCCTCCGTCCCCTGGGGTCCCCACCCTGCAGATCCTGAGCCAGGGTAGGGGCAGAGGTAGCAGGAGGTGTGCTGGGGGTAAGCAGGAGGTGGGCACTTGTGTGGCTGGTACAGGAACAAAGCTCCATGGAGCCAGGGCCCCGGCACGGGACTGGATGTGATTCCACTGTCATCTCCCTCAGTCCTCACAACAGCGTTTGTTTGTTTATTTATTTAATTTTTCCATCACCTTTTACCCCCTCTATGCCCTCTTCCATCTCTACCCCCGCCCCCAAGAAAGGTAAGCAGATGAAGGTTAAGTAATTTTCCCAAGGTCACAGATGGTGCAGACCCAGGCCACCGCTGGAGACCCACCCATCCCTGCTTCACATGCCCCCTAAGCGGCAGGTGTGGGCTCGTGGAGGTCCAGGTGCCGGGTGGGGCTGCCCCCTGGAACATCCCTGCCCAGCCCTGCAGTCTGCCCCAGGGCGTAGGGAAGGGTGCCCTCCACGCACAAAGCTCAGCCAGGCTTCCCCCAAGGCCCCGGCCCTCAGCTCTCTGTCACCTCTTCTCTCACAGGTCAAAACGCAGCTGCAGGCCCAGACGGTGGCCGCAATGGCCGTGGGGCACCAGCACCACCACCAAGTAAGACTGTCACTCCCCAGAGCTCCCTGGGCTGGGTGGGCTCCTGGTGGGCAGGGACTGCCCAGTGACCCTGTGCCCTCTCCCCACAGAGCTTACTGGGCGCCATGGAGACCATCTGGCGGCAGCAGGGCTTGGCAGGTCTGTGGCGGGGTGTGGGCGGGGCTGTGCCCCGAGTCATGGTTGGCTCAGCTGCCCAGCTTGCCACCTTTGCCTCTGCCAAGGACTGGGTGCAGGAGCGACAGGTAAGGGGCCAGGGACACCTGCGCTCACCCACACAGACACACAGGAGAGAGGAGGGCCACCTGCCTCCTTCCTCGCCATCTTTCTGGGCCCGAATCACGCCTCGACCTCTCCAGCTGGACCTTTGCACAGGGAGTCCCAGGGGGTGGTGACAGACAGGGCCCCTAAACCCCCTGGGCCCAGCAGGAATGGGGGCCAACAGTGAATCCTGAAGCTGGGAGGAACTAGTGGGGAGATATGGGGTGGGGGATGGCTGGAGGGGCCTTGTCTTCTCCCCTTCCCCCAGCTCTTCCAGCACCCAGGTGGTGGCAGGGTGGGTGGAAGGCAGTTGCAGGGGTCAGCAGCCTGCACCATCCTCACAGTGGCTCCCGGAGGACAGCTGGCTGGTGGCCCTGGCCGGAGGCATGATCAGCAGTGTAGCTGTGGTTGCAGTCATGACCCCCTTCGATGTGGTCAGCACTCGGCTGTACAATCAGCCCGTGGATGGAGCTGGCAGGGTGAGCGGGGACAGGTGGTGAGGGTGTGGGGAGCTGGAGAGCACCCTTCCCAGCACACACACGCACACACACGGACACACACAGACACACACATAGCCAGACACACACGCAGACAGACACACACGACATACATGCAAATGCATGAATTCAGCTTGTGTGCTGAGCACCATGTCCCAGGCACGTGCTGCACAGTTTCGCATCTAGATTTCATCCCATCCTCATAACCACCTTTGTTTTCCTGCTGAGGAAACTGAGGCTCAGAGATATCAAGTGAGTTGCCTGAGGTCACCCAGCTGGTATGTAGAGGAACGTGCTTGGAGCCCAGGGCTGCGCCCGCGGCCTTGCAGACATGTGCCTGCCATCATGAACCTGGTGCATCTGTGCCCAGCACATAGGTGCCCTCCACAGGCTGAGGGGCAAAATCCACTGCATGCCACTAGCCAAACAGAGCCCCTAACATGGGGCTGTGGCCGTCTGAAGGAAGAGACCCTTTTTTTTTTTTTAATATATCTTTATTGATTTCAGAGAGAGGAAAGCAGAGGGAGAGAGAGAAACATCAATGATGAGAGTCATTGATCGGCTGCCTCCTGCACGCCCCCGACTGGGCATTGAGCTGGCAACCCAGGCATGTGCCCTGACCGGGAATCTAACCCCGATCAACCGCTGAGCCACGCCCGGCCGGGTGAGACCCTTTTTAATTTCACAACCTAAAGGGCCATCTTTCTGTAGTTTGCCAGGCTTGGGGGTGCCTTTTCTGAGGTGCCACAGAAGCCCTTACACACAGACACACCCTGTTGTGCCAGCCAGGGCCCCTATAGTGACACCCCCCTGTGTCTGTCCCCAGGGCCAGCTATACAGGGGCCTGGCTGACTGCCTGGTGAAGATCTGGCGGCAGGAGGGCCCCCCTGCGCTCTACAAGGGCCTGGGCCCTGCCTACCTGCGCCTGGGCCCGCACACCATCCTCAGCATGCTCTTCTGGGACGAGCTGCGGAAACTGGCCAGATAGGGCTGGCGCCAGGGCACCTGGGCCACGTCCCTCACCCCCCCTGCATCCTGACACAGCCTGTTGCCCCGCTCCAGCCAGGACTGGCCACCTCGGAGCGAGCCACAGGCCCCGGCTCCGCCGCAGGTCTGGGGAGAGTGTGGGTAGCTCTGGTCAACCCAGCCTGTGACCCCACCACCCGGCTCCGAGTCACCACCCACTCTGTTTTCCAGAAAGCTCTCTCCCTTCTCTACTTGGGGTGGCTTGTCCCAGCGCCTTCCTCACGGTTATAACGACAGTTCTGGAGCCTCACCACAAGTGGGGCCACCTACCTGCGTCAGCTCGCTTCCTCCTGGAACAACAGTGTGAGCTCATAAAACCCTCTTTCCCCAGCGAGGAAGCCGAGGCTCAGAGGGTGAGACCCTTGGATCAGACCACTCAGCNTGGCAACCCAGGCATGTGCCCTGACCGGGAATCTAACCCCGATCAACCGCTGAGCCACGCCCGGCCGGGTGAGACCCTTTTTAATTTCACAACCTAAAGGGCCATCTTTCTGTAGTTTGCCAGGCTTGGGGGTGCCTTTTCTGAGGTGCCACAGAAGCCCTTACACACAGACACACCCTGTTGTGCCAGCCAGGGCCCCTATAGTGACACCCCCCTGTGTCTGTCCCCAGGGCCAGCTATACAGGGGCCTGGCTGACTGCCTGGTGAAGATCTGGCGGCAGGAGGGCCCCCCTGCGCTCTACAAGGGCCTGGGCCCTGCCTACCTGCGCCTGGGCCCGCACACCATCCTCAGCATGCTCTTCTGGGACGAGCTGCGGAAACTGGCCAGATAGGGCTGGCGCCAGGGCACCTGGGCCACGTCCCTCACCCCCCCTGCATCCTGACACAGCCTGTTGCCCCGCTCCAGCCAGGACTGGCCACCTCGGAGCGAGCCACAGGCCCCGGCTCCGCCGCAGGTCTGGGGAGAGTGTGGGTAGCTCTGGTCAACCCAGCCTGTGACCCCACCACCCGGCTCCGAGTCACCACCCACTCTGTTTTCCAGAAAGCTCTCTCCCTTCTCTACTTGGGGTGGCTTGTCCCAGCGCCTTCCTCACGGTTATAACGACAGTTCTGGAGCCTCACCACAAGTGGGGCCACCTACCTGCGTCAGCTCGCTTCCTCCTGGAACAACAGTGTGAGCTCATAAAACCCTCTTTCCCCAGCGAGGAAGCCGAGGCTCAGAGGGTGAGACCCTTGGATCAGACCACTCAGCTCCGAATGGCAGAGCTGGGATGGAGCGCAGCCCTGCCAGGCCCAGAGCTGTGCCCTTGGCAAGGACCAGGACCAGGGGGCGGCGTGTCCCCGAGGGATCACTGCATACACAAGGAGACCCCGGGTGCCCCCAAGGCGTGTCACCATCTTTGGGGGTCAGCCAGGGCAGCGGGAACAAAGCGCCTCAGCGCAGGTGGCTGTAACAGCCGACGGGTTCCTCAGTCTGGAAGCCAGATGCCCCAGAGGGAGGGGTCAGCAGGGCTGGTTTCTTCCGAGGCCTCTCTCCTTGGCGTGTAGGTGGCTGACCTCCGTGTGTCCTTCCCTTTGCGCGTGTCTTCTTATGAGGACACCAGTCATGACGGATTAGGACCCCCCTAGTGACCTCATGGTAACCTAATCAGCTCCGTAAAGACCCTGTCGCCAACCGCAGTCCCGTTCTGAGGTGCCGGGAGCTAGGACCTCATTATATGAATTGGGGTGGGGAAGACAAAGTTCAGCCTGTCACATCCACGAAGGGCTTTCACTGAGGCCCCCCCCCAACCCCATCACCCAGCACTGTGTGAGGCCCCTACCCCGGGTGCCCAGCACTATGGCACCTGCACAGACCCCATGACAACACGGAAAGGGAGCCCTCGAGATGCCCAATGTTCAGACGAGGAGACTGAGGCCAGGGCAGGCCAGTGACTTGCCCGAGCTGAGTAGCAGAGCTGGGCATCCCAGTCCCGCCCTTCCCCCAGGCTGCAGCCACACTCCCCACACCGGTGTGTCCCTAAGGCCGGCACTGACCTTTGTGCCACAGAGGTGGACACCCAAGTCCTTGGAAGGGGGAGAACTGGCCGGGGTCAAACGGCCTGAACTACCTTCCCTGCCAACACCCGTGTCTTGGGAAAGCTGCTCCCCAGGGGCTCTCCTACCAACACTCCAAACCAATAAAGTTTTCTATTTTCTTTACTTCAACGACTCCCCTCTGCCGGCAGCCTCGGACTCCCCCACCCTGAACCCCCACTTGGCTACTTCAGTCTGGGAAAGGAGGGTCCCAAAGAACTGGGCGGTGCCCCCCCACCTCACCGGGCCCAGGGAGGCCTGCCACCCAGTGGACACGGAGCCAGGGTGGGCAGCGGGCGGCAGAGCCGGATCCCAGCCTCAGGCGGTGGGGGGACCACCGGCTCCCTCCAGACTTGGGGCTGAGAGCAGAGCCTGAGCTCAGGAACGTCGGGGGATGGAGGCCCGTTTCCAGATTTGGGGCTGAAAGGACACAGCCCCGACCTCAGGCTGGGGGACAACAGATGGCTGAGGACAGACGAGGGCTGGGGCTTCAGGAAGCCCCCGTGTGGGAAGCCCGAGGGGAGGGTGAGAAAGGGGGCACCTGGCTCGAGCAGGGGCAGAGACGGAGACCAAGCCCAGAGATGCCCCTTCACCCCGCGCCCCCCGGATGGGGAGCAGCTGGTCGCCCCTGAACCCTGCAGGCCCCTGGCTCTCCT